AATGTAAGGGGTTACATCTAACACAGACAAAACAAATAATGTAAGGGGTTACATCTAACACAGACAAAACAAATAATGTAAGGGGTTACATCTAACACAGACAAAACAAATAATGTAAGGGGTTACATCTAACACAGACAAAACAAATAATGTAAGGGGTTACATCTAACACAGACAAAACAAATAATGTAAGGGGTTACATCTAACACAGACAAAACAAATAATGTAAGGGGTTACATCTAACACAGACAAAACAAATAATGTAAGGGGTTACATCTAACACAGACAAAACAAATAATGTAAGGGGTTACATCTAACACAGACAAAACAAATAATGTAAGGGGTTACATCTAACACAGACAAAACAAATAATGTAAGGGGTTACATCTAACACAGACAAAACAAATAATGTAAGGAATTACATCTAACACAGACAATACAAATAATGTAAGGGGTTACATCTAACACAGACAAAACAAATAATGTAAGGGGTTACATCTAACACAGACAAAACAAATAATGTAAGGGGTTACATCTAACACAGACAAAACAAATAATGTAAGGGGTTACATCTAACACAGACAAAACAAATAATGTAAGGGGTTACATCTAACACAGACAAAACAAATAATGTAAGGGGTTACATCTAACACAGACAAAACAAATAATGTAAGGGGTTACATCTAACACAGACAAAACAAATAATGTAAGGGGTTACATCTAACACAGACAAAACAAATAATGTAAGGGGTTACATCTAACACAGACAAAACAAGGGGTTACATCTCATACAATAGATAATTAAGATATCACAATTCACACAAAACAAATATTTTAAGGATTTCATCTAACATAACAGAAAAAACAAACCATTTAAGGAATTACATTTCACACCACAGATTGATAAAATGATACAGGGAATTATACTTCACACCACAGATTGATAAAATGATATAGGGAATTATACTTCACACCACAGATTGATAAAATGATACAGGGAATTATACTTCACACCACAGATTGATAAAATGATATAGGGAATTATACTTCACACCACAGATTGATAAAATGATACAGGGAATTATACTTCACACCACAGATTGATAAAATGATATAGGGAATTATACTTCACACCACAGATTGATAAAATGATATAGGGAATTATACTTCACACCACAGATTGATAAAATGATATAGGGAATTATACTTCACACCACAGATTGATAAAATGATATAGGGAATTACATTTCACACCACAGATTGATAAAATGATACAGGGAATTATACTTCACACCACAGATTGATAAAATGATATAGGGAATTATACTTCACACCACAGATTGATAAAATGATATAGGGAATTATACTTCACACCACAGATTGATAAAATGATATAGGGAATTATACTTCACACCACAGATTGATAAAATGATATAGGGAATTAAACTTCACACCACAGATTGATAAAATGATACAGGGAATTATACTTCACACCACAGATTGATAAAATGATATAGGGAATTATACTTCACACCACAGATTGATAAAATGATATAGGGAATTATACTTCACACCACAGATTGATAAAATGATATAGGGAATTAAACTTCACACCACAGATTGATAAAATGATATAGGGAATTATACTTCACACCACAGATTGATAAAATGATATAGGGAATTATACTTCACACCACAGATTGATAAAATGATATAGGGAATTATACTTCACACCACAGATTGATAAAATGATACAGGGAATTAAACTTCACACCACAGATTAATAAAATGATATAGGGAATTATACTTCACACCACAGATTGATAAAATGATATAGGGAATTATACTTCACACCACAGATTGATAAAATGATATAGGGAATTATACTTCACACAACAGAAAAAAAACAAATGTTGTAAGAAATTACATCGTGCGCATGGCAGATAAAACAAAAAAATGTTAACAATTCATTTCATATCTTAAAAAAAGAATGATCCCATGAAATAGTGAATTCTGGAACCATAGTAATAGGTGTGTAAGTCACATACAGAAACTAACATCAATTAGGCATGTTAAACAGATTTAATCTATACAGTTTAATAAACATTACACCTACTGTGACAACAGTACAACAAACATTCCACTTTCTAGAACTACAGGAACATTACATGTTCCTTCAGTAACAGAAGCATTAGAAGATGATAAAATAGCTGTACATTCTATCTTAAATGTCAATTTAGCTCTTTACTTTGTTAAGTACTACACGTTCCTATATACAACTATTCATAATTCTTCATGTGTCACACAGATAGAAAAAGATGGCAGTACTGTAAGACAGTGGCAATCATTTTGTTGTATCTGAATACATTACATGTCTTCACACCATTTACGATACCATAAATTCATAACAATATATTACATTAGAAATGTCATCATATACAACAGATTTTACAAGCCATTTTTTATGTAGAGAAGTTATATACAACATTATCATAATACACTTTCTCACTTCTCTGTGAAACAAACCTACACCATGTGAAGACGTAGTCTGTCTTTTGGCATCAGACATAATATGATAAAATTTAATATTAAGGGAAAAATTGAACCAAGCAATCAACACCAATACAATGAGAGACAAACCTGACAATACAATACAGCATTACACAAATACGTACAGAGAAACATAACTTTGATCAAATATTAACATGTATTTAGTCTTACTGCAGTAACAAACAAAACTTCAATTCCTTAATCTAGGAATGATATCCCATGAAACTTAACATAAAACCTTCTTGGATTAAAGATTTGTAAAACATTGGATCTAAAGGTCATGTACAGACTGTCCAGCTTATAGTGACCAAACAAACAAGAGAGTGGTGTTAACCACAGGATTATGGTTAGGAATACAGTGTCCTCAACCTCTTGTCAAATGATATCTGGTCATGGCCTTGAAAATCAACGGTGACTGGGTGTTTTCATAATTAATTCTATTCTATAGTTATCTGCATGTTTTGTTCTATGTTATGTTTGAACATTATTTTCAGAAAATAAGATCCAAAACTAGAATTTGAAACTTTTAAATACTGATCAAAAAGTAAAGAAATATCAGGTAAGATGGCAGAATTTGGAAAGCTAATACTGTATAATATTTTCGAGTTGAAAATATATGTGATATTTCATTGGAATATGGATAAAAACCATATAATCATTACACAATGAACTGTGTATTCTTCGTTGTTAGCGTCATCAACTAAACACTGTGCAAGTGTCTTATGACAAAGCATTAGACATGCACATGAACAGTCCAGTACGTCTTATTCATTATGAATGTTACATACAATACAATGTAAACGACAATTCTATATATTGTCCAGTAAAATGACGGAATGCTTCATCAACTGAACTCTTCAATCTCTATTTCTATGTTTTTCTCACACTTTTTGAAAACTTTCTTGTTTCTATTAAAACTACAGTACAAGTTATACAAAATATTTATTGATTTGAATAAGATATTAGTTATAGATATGTATTTAGTGTAAAAATTGGAATATAATTAGTACAAATCTGTTTGATCAATATTCTCTCCATCTATCAGTTATTAATTAGATTACATTGCTATTGGCTGTTGTTTGTCTTACTTTTTAAACTTTAGAGTCCTCCAGAGCAGCAATCAACAGACCAACAATCTCCTTCTTAAAACATTTGGTAACAGGCAAAAGTTATATTCAAAGTTCATCATAATTTATTAATGATGCATTAAATGTGGGTCAAGGTCATTCCTTTTACAACTTTTTATCTCTACTCCAAAATGCTACAGGCCTGTTACATCATGAACCTAACCCAATGGTTATCCAGAAGAAAAAATGATGAACACATCTGACTCCTATAATCTTAAAAGTGGGCCAAGGTCACTCATTGAACAAAGTCAACAGCCTTTCATCCTAGGAGACTATGGGTCAAACCAGGACCCTTGGCCTCAAAGCTCTCAGATGTTACTGACAGATGTTGATGCTGTATGATGGACACACAGATAGATGAACAGATATTTATCATTGTTTAAAGTCAATTTTTCCCACAGTCAAGTATAGTACAATGTATAAAATCCATGATCAGAAATTAAGGCACACACACACGATATATGAATTTGTACAAACATTAAAGGCCTGCATTTATTGCTGGTTGATAATAGTGTTGCCTGAGGACTGTGACTTGAGAGTTTAATGATGAAGTATTGTCAAAAGAAAGCAAATTAATGCATAATATAATTAACTCATCATTGTAGAAATATATGTGCTTAATGATTTCAAAAATTTACTTTTTCAAACAACATTGACCATCAATGATTTCAAAAATTTACTTTTTCAAACAACATTGACCATCAATGATTTCAAAAATTTACTTTTTCAAACAACATTGACCATCAATGATTTCAAAAATTTACTTTTTCAAACAACATTGACCATCAATGATTTCAAAAATTTACTTTTTCAAACAACATTGACCATCAATGATTTCAAAAATTTACTTTTTCAAACAACATTGACCATCAATGATTTCAAGAAATAACTTTTTCAAACAACAGTGACCATCTATCACCTGTTACCCTTGATTACAGTGTGAATGCCTGCATGGTGATAAGTTTCTGTGATACTGCTAATAAAATCCTTATATATATATACAACAGCAGGGTTTCAAGCCATGTGCACTGTTTGATCTAATTAGTAAGATACTATCTCCTTTAAGGAGAGCTAGAATCTCTGACCACTGAAACATTTACATCACTGACATTTCAAAAGATCATACATTTAACCATCCTCATTTACTATCGTCCCACATCTACACTAGATAATTATACAGATTTAAAAACATTGTCCAAAAATGCAATACACATCTTTTTTGAATCCCCCTATTATATTTATAACCTGAATGGAATGAAATTTTAATTTAAAAAACTAGAACAGTATCACAAAAGACAAAAGAATGAATTAAATTTTCCGTAATCAAGCTGTGGTATACCCTTGACTTCCACAAGTTGAGGCAATTCTTATCCTTTCCTTAAGTTCCTCCTTGTTGGGATATTCTGGTAACTTGAGCAAATTGATACTGAAAAATCAAAAGGGAATACTTATCTATATAACCAGGTTATAAATAACCATTACATAACTAGACTTAATGTTCTTAAAATCCTATCTACTACAGTGACTATCACCTTACTATGGTGATCAAAATAAAATTATCTTTGTGAAAACTTTGTTTTGTTAAAAGGTACTGAAGCATCAACTTTATTGTACAGTTCTTATCATATTTTACTCTAAACAACAAATTATATCAAGGAATTTCAAACTCATTTAAACTTATGTTATACATGTGAGGTGAACTATTTACTAAAAAAACATTTACTCCAGTTATAAAAATTTTCATTCTACTTCGATTAAGTCATAGAAATCATTTTGAAATTGAACTCTTAAATAAACTTAAATTTTTATCACTAAAAATCACCTAAGAATGGCTGCAGATTTCAGTGACAAAAAGATAAGAAATGTTCATAAAGACTGAATGTTTTACACAAAAAGTTTGAATATACATGTGATTTTCTCTACACAGTTTCCCCCAGTATTACAGGGTAGATAATTAAATTCTAATTTGCTAGAGAATCAATCATCACTTGTATAAGATTTCATGGATGATTCACTGATCAAAGTACAAATGAAAGAATTTTAAAAATTGGTTGTGTTTTTATATACATTGTCAGCAATTAACAAACCTAAATGAATGTTATATTTTCCTGATAAGAATTCTTGTTCTCCACTGTTGGAATAAATTAACTAAATAGGAGTGCTTATGAATCTCTTGTAAAGAACCGTAATAACTACTGGTAGATAATATATGTCAGATTTATGAGATTTTGAGGTAAAGTAAAACTTTTAATGATTTTTGTTGACAACGCCCTACTGACCAGGTGCTGGCAGTAGGAAGAATCTGATAAGTGTACGGAGTACTGCTGATGGTGAATTTCTGTGCTCCTCCTCCTCCTGTCAACTTGGAAAACCCTCCATATGGCACTCGGGAACTGCAACAAACATCATAATAAAGAAATCATACGTATGTATTTATATATAGGTTATATATACACGATACTTATATTTGTGGCTCCAATCTGGAGTCACTCAGGTGTGAATACATGTTGTAGGATATCCAGAATATAGTACACACCAGGAATGTATATAAAGAGCTATTTATTATATGAGTGCCTTATTATTTAGTGTATATACCCATTTCATATTTTTGCATATTAAACACATGTAATTTGGCTTATTGTGATATTACAGACTGATGTCACACATTCATAGATGGCATTGTATCGTAACCAAGGAGACCATAGATACATAAAGACATAGAAATGTACAGTAAAAACTCATGTAATATGCACAGGTTTTTTGAGAAAATCAAGGTCCAAAGTGGGGAAATGTTTTCTAGCATATTTGCTTAAATAATCGGTTATGTGAGAAAAAGGTCCTGAAATTTTATGAATATTAGGAAATTCATCACAAATTTTCTAGTTTAGCTTGCCACTTTCTGTCATTTTATATTGATATAAAATGGGAACACATTGAAGACTTAAGATGTAGGAAGAGGGTATCCAGTGAATGGAGAAAGCTGGACATCCAGGCACATCTGTATACAGGTGTTAGTGAGCAATTTAGACTAAATGACTAATTAGCAAGAATGGATACAAAACCTTACCCCTCCCTTCAAATTGGATAAATCAATTCTCCAAAATGTCTCCACAAAATGGTTTATTTGTTTATTCATGTTCCTATATGACAGGGTTTGATATAGGTAATTGTAGATAACAGAAACACAAGCCCACCTATACTTAAAACGTTACATACCTGCCTGTGACAAATTGTAACAACTGCACACGCTCGTGTTCATTGGAGTCTTCCAGTACCTCCCAGAACCACTGTAAAGTAACACAATATAGTTGTTGGTGGTGGCTAGTCTAAAATCTATAGAAAATTTAACCTGATTTGTCCGGAAATCAGTGACTAAATAGAAACATCTGAGTATTATACTCACTTATTTCTGATAGAAATTCTACATCGGTAAAAGTACACATGTAGTGACCTAGCATTTTCTTTTTTTAAATTTGGATACAAGTGTAAATTCTATTCTAACAGACACTAATCACTAAGAGAACATGCTACTGCTAAAGATATCAGTTTTTTTAGTCGAAGACTGTCATGAAATACTGTAGTAGAATGATAAAACAATGAAAAAAGGGGTAATATTTCTTAATTACACAGTTACTTCACGTAGTTATTTTATGTGAGAAAATTTCAGTCTAGATGAAAAAATTGAGAGATTAAATAATGTATTACTTTATTTTGCCACTTTCATCAAAACATTTGGCCCCACTGCTCTTTGAAAAGTTTACACCTTGAATCTTACTCATCTAAACAGAGAGTTGACAATTTCCTATTAAGACAATCTGCCACTCTTATTTTTCAGTATAGTTACCTTGATGATGTCCGATGCCTCACAGTAACCATTATAGTCAGTGTTGGCCTTCCAGTCATCCACACAAATCTCTGGTAACCCAGACAACATCAGCTCCTGTACAGAAGGTGTTTATCAACTGATCATGTATCTTTTGATATATGTATACTCACAAAACATACCCAGTATCATATTTTGTACATTTTCTGTTTATAAATCGGAAATAGAACCAAATCCTACATCAATATAAGTAGACAATTAAATTTAATGTATATATTAACTGATAGATCTATGGAACACAGTAAATTTCCTGTCTTAGGGAGTAACAAGTTAAAATCTCCTGTCTTAGGGACTAACAAGTCATCAACTTGAGAAGTAGGAACTGACTTAGAGATCTATAACATAACTTAGATCAACCACGGTTTTAAACATTTGAACAAGCTAACAAGTTGATAGATGCATACCAGTTCATATTCATCAAACATCTGAACAAGCGACTGTGGTATGAAGGCATGAAAGCCAGACAGGAAGCTCTCTATCTGTGGTTGTATTGCTCGGGTCATCCTCAGCTCTGTGACCAGTTGGACGTACTCTTGCTGCAGACATAATAACACAGAAGGATCAGTGTACTGAAGTCTCCCTAGGGGCCTGCTAAGTAAAGGTCTATATTGATATTGTTGGGAGAACCTCTAGCCTGTATTTCAAATGTCCCTGGATTCAGATTTAATGATAAACAATGAATTGTTTTCTCTATTAATAATACTTGCCATTTATGAAACATTCTCAGAAATAGTGAAAGATAGACACCTTCTAAAACACCAACTTCTACCCTCTAAAACACTAACTTCTACCCTCTAAAACACTAACTTCTACCCTCTAAAACACCAACTTCTACCCTCTAAAACACCAACTTTTGAAGCTTTTGTGTATTTTTATTATCCTATGAATTCAGTCCACTTTTTATCAACAGTTTAGATTGATATTGTGGTGACTTACATTTAATTTACACCTAGTTGCTTGAAAACTATGCACATTTGTTTTAAATTCATGTAAATGTTATAGAGTGTATTGGCATTTTATCACCACATTAATATCACAATACCTTGTTTTCCTCTGTGACTGGAATCATTGCACCTCCAGGTTTTAATTCCACTTCCTGCATTTTTCCGAACACATCAGTTTCGACAGAGAACGTGAGATCAAGGCCAAGGTTACTAATGTTGTGGTCCAGGATCCACTAGTGGAAAGAACAGTTCAGTGTCAGCATTTAACAAGTGATCATACAACATTACAAAGACTTGTGCTAAAATTAATTGTACTTTTACACTTAACTAAATTGTTAATAAAATTACTAGTATCTTTACTTTATTTTCCAGCAGTGAAGTGATTCTCCTTCAGATTTTACTTACTGGCAATAATATATCACAGATTATTAAAATGTTTTCTCACACCATATTGAATTCGTAATTTTTTTTTTCAATATGAATTAAATAATTGTCCTTAATTTTTTGTTTTGCAAGGAAATACCTATTTTTTTTTAAATGTTAATGAATGTTTGGGGACATAATGTTCAAAACCTTCTACTTTACCTGAAATTTTTTTTTGCCAAACATAACTGAAGATTTTTGACAAACTTCCACCTTTGCTGAAGGTTACTGCCAAACTTCTACCTTACCTGAAGACTTTTCCCAAACATCCACTTAACATGAAGATTTTTGACAAACTTCCACCTTACCTGAAGGTTATTGCCAAACTTCCACCTTACCTGAAGGTTATTGCCAAACTTCCACCTTACCTTTTTTGCCAAACATCCACTTAACATGAAGATTTTTGACAAACTTCCACCTTACCTGAAGGTTTTTGGCAAACTTCCACCTTACCTGAAGATTTTTGACAAACATCCACTTAACATGAAGATTTTTGACAAACTTCCACCTTACCTGAAGGTTTTTGGCAAACTTCCACCTTACCTGAAGGTTTTTGGCAAACTTCCACCTTACCTGAAGATTTTTGCCAAACATCCACTTAACATGAAGATTTTTGACAAACTTCCACCTTACCTGAAGGTTATTGCCAAACTTCCACCTTACCTGAAGGTTTTTGGCAAACTTCCACCTTTGCTGAAGGTTACTGCCAAACTTCTACCTTACCTGAAGATTTTTGCCAAACATCCACTTAACATGAAGATTTTTGACAAACTTCCACCTTACCTGAAGGTTATTGCCAAACTTCCACCTTACCTGAAGGTTATTGCCAAACTTCCACCTTACCTGAAGATTTTTGCCAAACATCCACTTAACATGAAGATTTTTGACAAACTTCCACCTTACCTGAAGGTTTTTGGCAAACTTCCACCTTACCTGAAGATTTTTGACAAACATCCACTTAACATGAAGATTTTTGACAAACTTCCACCTTACCTGAAGGTTTTTGGCAAACTTCCACCTTACCTGAAGGTTTTTGGCAAACTTCCACCTTACCTGAACATTTTTGCCAAACATCCACTTAACATGAAGATTTTTGACAAACTTCCACCTTACCTGAAGGTTATTGCCAAACTTCCACCTTACCTGAAGGTTTTTGGCAAACTTCCACCTTTGCTGAAGGTTACTGCCAAACTTCTACCTTACCTGAAGATTTTTGCCAAACATCCACTTAACATGAAGATTTTTGACAAACTTCCACCTTACCTGAAGGTTACTGCCAAACTTCCACCTTACCTGAAGGTTATTGCCAAACTTCCACCTTACCTGAAGGTTATTGCCAAACTTCCACCTTACCTGAAGATTTTTGACAAACATCCACTTAACATGAAGATTTTTGACAAACTTCCACCTTACCTGAAGGTTTTTGGCAAACTTCCACCTTACCTGAAGATTTTTGACAAACATCCACTTAACATGAAGATTTTTGACAAACTTCCACCTTACCTGAAGGTTTTTGGCAAACTTCCACCTTACCTGAAGATTTTTGCCAAACATCCACTTAACATGAAGATTTTTGACAAACTTCCACCTTACCTGAAGATTTTTGCCAAACATCCACTTAACATGAAGATTTTTGACAAACTTCCACCTTACCTGAAGGTTTTTGGCATATTCAGGATCAATGGATGCAACATCTTTGTAGCTTACAGGAATACCTGTAAAAAAATATCACTTCTTACAAATCTTTCTTGTCTTAATGTCACAAAAACTTACTAAAAATTAAATGGAATTTTAGAACAATTTTATCTCATGACGATGTCACAGCAGACATATCAAAATAATTAAGATCACACAAAAAATTACAAACACATGTATCAAAACAATTTTAAATGATGCAGTCAAGAGCTTTCCACACCTACAAATTAAAAGATAAATGCATCAAATGCCAGATTTTTTCAAACAAAAACATCTTCTTTTAAACATTCAGTACCCTTGCCTATGATATGTTTGTAGCAAAAATATACATATGACATGTTTGTAGTATACAATATACATAAGGTATGTTTGTGGTATGGTAATAGAATACTGTACTTATGATATGTATATGTATATATGCAGAATACCTAAGATATGTTTGTAGAAAGATCGTGTGAAGTAGATGCTAAGGAGATGTTGATGGTAGAGAGCAAGTCCTAGGATGTGGCCAGCGAATTGAAAGTAGTTGAGATGATCAGGGTTGATGGCTGAGTTACTGTTGGGCTGGAATGTACAACCTGTAGAGAAAGACATGCAGTGTTAGATGTGGAGAAAAGACAAATACTTATTGTCATCAATACATAGTTTCCAAAACACAAATCATTCCAAGATATTCATTGTCAAAACTTCAAAAAGACACATATGTGATACTGATATTAGTACTTACCATCAGCAGACTGGGTGAACAGAGCATAATCAGGATTCAGGATTTCCTTTGACAGAATATCAAACCATTCCCTCACAACTCCTCGGCCCTGGGCAGAAAAATAGTAATATTTCATTTGAGATCCACCTTCAATATTGTTTTCTACATTCACACTAACTAACATTATCCAACATGAAAAAAGTATACGGTAGCTCTTTCTATTCTCATGTAATGTCATACACTCTTCTTTTATGATAAACTCTCTTCTCATCAAAAACCAGAAAGAAATCCTCTAACTTACTACTCTTTCTTCCTCATAAACCCTGCCAGATAAAGCTGTTTTCAAATTACCAATCCCTCTTCCAATAAAACGCCACAGAGAAATCCTTCTTTAACTTACCACTCCCTCTTCCCCATTAAATCTCATAGAGAATGCCTTCTTCAACTTGTCCGTTGGCAATTCCATCATCCTCTCGCAGCTGCTATGGAACAACCGTTCTGGAAACATACAATACCAGAACAGAAAAAAACATTTAAAATCCTTTCTATATTTTATGGTGAATGATTACAATGTTCTGACAAAACTTGAAGCAGTATTGAATGTACAGACACATTTTTATAGAAAGATGCTGAAGTATCTTGGCGTTGAAAATGCTTATAGTCATCAGATCCAGTAATGTTGTGTTTATGACCACCCCATGAAAGGAGTGGTATGTTCTTACTAGTCTAATTGATCTGTATTTTGAAACAGAATATGGGGTGCATCAGATCTGTCTTGGATTCCTTTGATATCTCTAAATAGAGGACACACAAGCTGATCCCTAAGGTTACAGGTTTCCTCTTTGCTTACCTAATGTAGTGGCTAATAGAAGGAATATCCTTTTCTTACCCCTGGGTATTTCAGTAAGAAAAAGGAACTTCTTCACTGAACTTGTATCTTACATAATCTGATAATTCTACATCCAACAGTTTAAGATCAAGATTTTTTTTGCTTGATTTGACTTCAAAGATGATTAGTACGCAATAGAAACCAAGTTTGGCTATGGGACCCTCTGCCTGCCTTATATGTACATATAGATGTCAGATAATTCTACAGAAATATAACAGGACAATCCGGACCCTCTGCCTGCCTTATATGTACATATAGATGTCTGATGATTCTACAGAAATATAACAGGACAATCCGGACCCTCTGCCTGCCTTATATGTACATACAGAAGTCTGATGATTCTACAGAAATATTACAGGACAATCCAGACCCTCTGCCTTCCTTATATGTACATACAGATGTCTGATGATTCTACAGAAATATTACAGGATAAACCAGGAACCATTCACAAAGACAGATGACATGGAGAATAGCTTTTTGTGAAAATAGAGATAGCGTATCATACTTACTGAGAATAAAGTAAATCTGTTTTCTAACTATCAGCTTGTGATAGTGTGAACAAGTGAGATTACCAGACTTTGTTGTTAGTATGTTTAATTACAATTTTGGCGTATTTTTTTTATTGCTACAAGATCTAAACTGAAACAAAAAGACAAATGAGGACACCACTGTTTAAGTTTCCTGTTCCTCCTACCTCTGTCCACCACTAGTATGTCTTCCTGATTAAGTGTGGAATGTATTAGTCCATTCTCATCAGGAGTGCTGCCCAAATTCTCATAAAACCAGCGCCTCCGTGTCTCAAATGGCTGAAAAAAAAAAACATGAAACATCTATTTAAAACCAAACCTTCTGCTTAAAAGTTTATGAAGCTTTCATCAAATCATTTCTTGTTAACAATGGCAATTGCAAGTACATGCATATCAAAAATTTAAAGCACTGCATGGTAAGAAGTTGGGCTATTTGAACACTTACTGCTTTTCATTTACATGCATTTTCACTAAAATTATCTCCCTTGAAGTATGTGTGTGTGTGTGTGTGTGTGTGTGTGTGTGTGTGTGTGTGTGAGAGAGAGAGAGAGAGAGAGAGAGAGAGAGAGAGAGAGAGAGAGAGAGAGAGTGTGAGTTTTTGGTCATCTGAGGGACAATCTTTGTGTGATTTGATCTCAAGACTTTACCTGAGCTTTAATGATATACAGGAACTGGGACATCAACTCCGGACATTCCAGCAGGAAATGGAAGTGATCAAATATCACTTTAGGATTTCTGAAGGAAAATGCAAAATTCAAATATTTGATGAGAGAAGAATATTTCATGCTGAATGATAATAGAAACACTATATATTTTCTATTTTCTAGTAATAAATGCTGACATGATATTAAACAAATGTTTCCAGTATGAGTGGGACCATAAAATGGATTAATAACTCTGTCTACATGCTTAAGGTATTACCATGGTAAACATGTCATATGTGTGCTTATTCCAATACATATCTATTTGATCACACTCACCTGCTAACTAAGGCCTTCAGCACATGGTTATGACGCCAAACAAATTCTATAAATCGTGGTGATGTCATCCTGTTACCAACAAAAAATCAAGTAAGTAAAATCTATGAGTTAAATATACCTTAAGAGTTGGCTAAAGGGATCTTGCATTATTTGTTCTCAACAACATTTTCCTCCTTCTTTTTAATTCTACTCTATGCCTTTGCTTTTTATTACATAGAAGTTTAGAATTACTCTCAAGAAAAAGTGATAACAATCTTAAGCTACCAAATTTAAGACGATTACCCCTGTGCTAATTTGTTCTGATCTATCTAAAAATCAAAAGGGCACAACTAGGGAATTGAAATAACTTATGTATGAGATTTGAGAAAGATCTATCAACTATTTTTTCAAAAAATAACAAACTTGCATTCTTGAAGTCAAAGATAGCCACTTGTCAGCCATCATGTTTTTTTTTTTTATCATTCCCAAAATTGACACGGCACAACTTTCAAAAAGATCCATTCTGTGCTTGACAAGAAATTGTGACAACAAATTTTCATAGTCAAAATACAAAATGGGCACCCGTCAACCATTTCCTTTTCGATTAGTCCCAAAATACACTAAGCTCAACTAGGGTCTTAGGAAATTATACATATCAAGTCTGAGAATGCCCCTTCTAGTACTTCTCTCTAGAAATAGTGATAACAAACTATGACAGTCAAAATCAAAGATGACCACCTGCCAGCCAGCTTGATTTTCTGACCAGCCCAATAACTGACCATGCACAACAAGGGGAAAAGGTTAACCCAAGTTTGAAATTTGAAAATGATCCATGGAAAATTTCTCTAAGAAATAACAGTAACATGAGCTGTTTATGGACGGATGACCAATGGACAGACAGACAGATGGTAGATGGACAGACAGACAGATGGCAGATGGACAGACAGACGGATGACCAATGGACAGACAGACAGATGGCAGATGCTGAATGCTGGGCAATTTGAACAGCTCACCATTGAGAGCTAAAAAATTCCTGACAGCAAAGACTGAATTGATATAACAGAAATGTTTCATTCAAACTACTGGTTAATATCTTCTTCAATGGTTTGCAAGACCTGGTCTGGAGACATTTAAGTATCAAGTATCAACTGATAATAAATTGTCAGATTATGGTGAAGCAGAGAGACAACAAATAAATTCTAAGCAGTTGTTTTTAGTGAACTTGAAAGGGTTTATCAATATGGTCACAGAGCAGTGAATTGTATACCTATCATGTTTTCTTTCACAAGTGTTTTATTTTTCTTGTTATCATAAGCCTACCTGTCAAATATTGAACTGACAAATTTCAATACAGAAAAGATAATATCATATATTGCATATTCCTGATCTTCAGTTGCAAAAAGATGCTAAAAGGCAAACTTTGTGTATAGTGAATAAAACCTATTATTACTCAGAAGTAGATAATGCTTACAGTTGCTGTACCAGGCATCAGACTAAAGAATGAATTACTGTTATATATTGGATCAGACAGCAGAAATAGGCTTACTGTTGTTGAACTTGACAGGAGCAGCACATGTAGAAGGCTTGGACCACTCCACAGATCCTTGGGAGGGTAACTCCCACAACATCTTGATCTGCCTGCTCCAGGCTTAGACGTTTTAAAAGCTGTTCCTCCATGTCTGCAAGAGTGAACTTTGCAGCTACTACCTTGTGGTGAGTTGTTTCCCCTTCAGTGGGAGTTATCTCCCATTCTACACTTGCTCCCATAATTTTTGGTTCATCTTTCTCCTCCGTTCTTTTCTCTTCTGTTTTCTCCGTCCCTTCTTTCTCCACTGACACATCTTTCACAGTCTTTGTTTCCTTTGTGGAGTCTGCTGTATCTACAATTCCAGAATCATCTGGACATTCTTTGACCAAGGAATGCAAATTACCAAAAGACAATTCTTTTTTAAAGTTTTCTGGATTTCGTTCAAATTCCATCTTGAGTAGATTCAGCCAGTCATCTAGAAGTTGCCATAGCATTTCAAGTGGCTGAAATAGCAAAAAGACTAGTGTGATGTTGAATAAAGCTAAAGCATGGTAAAAAATCAGCAAATTTCATTGAAGGATTTGAAAACCAATGCATGTTTTACATACCAATAATTTTACTGAAAGTGCTATCACTGAAATTCCTTAACATACTTGTTTGTTCAAATACACATATTGACGTAATGAGACAATGAATCCATTACTGTCAAATTCCAGTCAATCACTCAACATTTACATAAAAACGTATGTTCTCTTAGCATACCTTGAAGATTTGAGTAGTTTTGGGTGACATGGGTGCGATTCCGTTGATGGCAGAAGAGGGATGTGATGAAAAGCCAGTGGACATGGACTTGTATAACGTACACAAGATCTTCACACATCGCAGCAGACTCGACACTTGGGTCTCCACATTGCTTGATACACTATAAAACACAGGTATTTACTTATTTTGTACATCTGGATCTCCACATGGAAGGAAACACTACAGAAAAAATGTACTTACTTCATTTGATATATCTGGACCCCTATATTGCTTCAGACACTATGAAACAGCTATATGCCTTAGGACATATACTCAAGCACTAGTAGTGACTTTAAGTCATACACCAGCAGTACTTGTTTTCATAGGCCATATCATTATAGGAGGCTGGGATTCATAGTTTCACCAAAGGACCTGACATATAATTTTCACTGAGGAGATTGTGATCTATATATTACCCAAAAAGGTTGTGCACTGTACATGTACCTCAATAGGTCATGACCAATATTTTTACCTTAGGAGGTTGTGACCTTCTTTTTCACTAGAGAAGGTCATGACCAATATTTTTACCTCAGGAGGTTGTGGCCTATATTTGAGGCTTCTTCTGACAGCTTGATCAACACCTTGTCAGTCATATTGTTGTTCTTATCTATCAGGTATAACAGGACTTTTGTATACTGAAAAATATAAAAATTCATGTCATCTTGATTTTGGCAACAACCTATCAATCTTAAAACTTATAAGAATAAAAACTGTTTTCAGGAGAGAGTCATGAGTTCCAACTGATAAACATGAATTCTGAGTGTAAACAAATTCCTAATACCTCTTGATTAAATAATGCAAGATGAAGAAAAAAGAAATTGTATCCTTGCTACAACCTACCATGCATTCCTTGAGTGTCTCCTTCCTCACCATGCTGATTAGCTGATCAAATAACTTGGGCATATACTGCAGTAGTATATAACATGTTTCACTGTAGCCCCCCTACAACATAAACACAAATGGTGGCCTAAATGTGAATCTTACAGTAAAGTGCTCCACTGTTAAATGTTAATGCTCCTGCAAAGAGGAGTTATCTTAATAGCCATTTTTGATTAAAGAGTCATCTGTGCTTAATACTCTGTGTGTTAATGCTTTTGCTTTGGAGTTACACCCTTTATGCAGCTTTCCACAATAACACCTTTTTTTTTACCTTCATTAAAAATGTTTGCCTGAAAATTTTGTACTGAAAGCTGTAATATCTATTATTCTTAAAATAATCTATTTGCATTTGTTTATTTTTCTTTTTTTTTTTGTCTTTAAGAAAAAAGTGATACACATTTTGTCTTTTGTCTATTTTTATCTTATATCTATTCATATTTTGGAAGATTTGGAAATATACATGTACTAATGCCACTTTAAAACCTGCTATCTTCACATCACCTGGTGTAAAATACAGAATACTGGATCCTAGAAAGTATACTTCTTATATTTTCAAATTTAGCAAACAGTGATGGAACACGCTACTTGAACAGTAGCCAAAAAATGGTATAATTTCTTTTAATAAAGATATCAAAAAATAATAAATATGTCACTTTCTGTCAAGTTGAAATAAAATTCTTTTACACAGATGAATCAAACACATACCTCCACACCGAGATCCATTGGAGTTTTATTGCTCCTGTTGGGGACAAACTTAGCCCCTTTATTCAACAAGATGTTTGCTGTGTCGTGTTGTCCGTGACTGAAATATGTAAAGTGAAGGAGTCCTAAACATTTCATACAACATTGTTTTCACTGTTGTTAGGACATATATTCTACATCATGTTAAAGCTGAATACTTTTAATCCATTACACAGAAAACCATATAAACATCATTTAAACTTGAGGTACTCCAGAAAACTTAATATCAAAAATACAACAAAAACCAGGAATGATTTATACTGCATTACATTCTTGCCATTTCCTTCCCCAACAACCCACCACCCCTACCCCCTACCACTCCATCCCCACCCCCACCAAAAATATAAAAAAAAATCCCCCATTTATGCTGCTTAAAATGAATCTACCTGCATGCAAAGTGTAATGGCATCCAACCATAATGATTTGGTCTGTTGACATCAGCTCCATGGTCCAGTAGACACAACACAGTCTGTTTAAGACAGAGCATGATACAGTAATTCCAACGATGAATAAGATTTAAAATTTCAGAAACACACATCAGATATTTCAAAAGCAAATTTCTTATATTATTCTATGTATATTTCACTACATGAAGAAACATTATATAACGTCTCAGATTTTTATAAAAATGATCCACCTGATGAACCAAACATTACTCACTATGTCAACGTAACATTACTCACTATGTCAAGGTAACATTACTCACTATGTCAAGGTAACAATACTCACTATGTCAAGGTAACATTACTCACTATGTCAACGTAACATTACTCACTATGTCAACATAACATTACTCACTATGTCAACATAACATTACTCACTATGTCCAGGTAACATTACTCACTATGTCCAGGTAACATTACTCACTATGTCCAGGTAACATTACTCACTATGTCAAGGTAACATTACTCACTATGTCAACATAACATTACTCACTATGTCAACATAACATGTCAAGGTAACATTACACTATGTCAAGGTAACATTAACATGTCAACGTAACATTACTCACTATGTCAAGGTAACATTACTCACTATGTCAAGGTAACATTACTCACTATGTCAAGGTAACATTACTCACTATGTCAAGGTAACATTACTCACTATGTCAAGGTAACATTACTCACTATGTCAAGGTAACATTACTCACTATGTCAACGTAACATACTCACTATGTCAAGGTAACAATACTACTATGTCAAGGTAACATTACTCACTATGTCAATGTAACATTACTCACTATGTCAAGGTAACATTACTCACTATGTCAAGGTAACATTACTCACTATGTCAAGGTAACAGTACTCACTATGTCAAGGTAACATTACTCACTATGTCAAGGTAACATTACTCACTATGTCAAGGTAACATTACTCACTATGTCAAGGTAACATTACTCACTATGTCAAGGTAACATTACTCACTATGTCAAGGTAACATTACTCACTATGTCAAGGTAACATTACTCACTATGTCAAGGTAACATTACTCACTATGTCAAGGTAACATTACTCACTATGTCAAGGTAACATTACTCACTATGTCAAGGTAACATTACTCACTATGTCAAGGTAACATTACTCACTATGTCAAGGTAACATTACTCACTATGTCAACGTAACATTACTCACTATGTCAAGGTAACATTACTCACTATGTCAAGGTAACATTACTCACTATGTCAAGGTAACATTACTCACTATGTCAAGGTAACATTACTCACTATGTCAAGGTAACATTACTCACTATGTCAACGTAACATTACTCACTATGTCAAGGTAACATTACTCACTATGTCAAGGTAACATTACTCACTATGTCAAGGTAACATTACTCACTATGTCAAGGTAACATTACTCACTATGTCAAGGTAACAATACTCACTATGTCAACGTAACATTACTCACTATGTCAAGGTAACATTACTCACTATGTCAACATTACTCACTATGTCAACGTAACAATACTCACTATGTCAAGGTAACATTACTCACTATGTCAACGTAACATTACTCACTATGTCAAGGTAACATTACTCACTATGTCAACGTAACATTACTCACTATGTCAACGTAACAATACTCACTATGTCAAGGTAACATTACTCACTATGTCAAGGTAATATTACTCACTATGTCAAGGTAACATTACTCACTATGTCAAGGTAACAGTACTCACTATGTCAACGTAACATTACTCACTATGTCAAGGTAACATTACTCACTATGTCAAGGTAACATTACTCACTATGTCAAGGTAACATTACTCACTATGTCAAGGTAACATTACTCACTATGTCAAGGTAACAATACTCACTATGTCAACGTAACATTACTCACTATGTCAAGGTAACATTACTCACTATGTCAAGGTAACAATACTCACTATGTCAAGGTAACAATACTCACTATGTCAAGGTAACATTACTCACTATGTCAACGTAACATTACTCACTATGTCAAGGTAACATTACTCACTATGTCAACGTAACATTACTCACTATGTCAACGTAACAATACTCACTATGTCAAGGTAACATTACTCACTATGTCAAGGTAACATTACTCACTATGTCAAGGTAACATTACTCACTATGTCAAGGTAACAGTACTCACTATGTCAAGGTAACATTACTCACTATGTCAAGGTAACATTTATGTCAAGGTAACAATACTCACTATGTCAAGGTAACATTACTCACTATGTCAAGGTAACATTACTCACTATGTCCAGGTAACATTACTCACTATGTCAAGGTAACATTTATGTCAAGGTAACATTACTCACTATGTCAAGGTAACATTACTCACTATGTCAATGTAACATTACTCACTATGTCAAGGTAACATTACTCACTATGTCAAGGTAACAGTACTCACTATGTCAAGGTAACATTACTCACTATGTCAAGGTAACACTTATGTCAAGGTAACAATACTCACTATGTCAAGGTAACATTTATGTCAAGGTAACAGTACTCACTATGTCAAGGTAACATTACTCACTATGTTAAGGTAACAATACTCACTATGTCAAGGTGCCCAAAGTGTAATCTAAACATACAACAGTACTTACAGATTTGTGGCCATTTTGACATGCTACATGTAAAGCAGTCTGTCCTTGAGCATCCTGGGGGGGGGAAAAAAGCAAAAATTGTAAATGATAGGTGTAACTTATCAGCACCTTCAAACAAAAGTTTATCCCAGCTTGATTTAGTATATAAGCTCAGTCTCAAATCATTAACAAAACCAGCAAGTTATTAGAAATTTTGCTTGCAATCTGCTACATCATGTAATTCAAGGAAGAAATTTTATCAAACAGATACAAAATATGAATGAGGTTTGTAATCTTTTTTAAAGTATGGATATCCTGTGTCATCGTACCTCTACGTCCACATCTTTGACATAAGTAAAGATATCATGTAGGAGTTCTGTCCTTCCATTGACAGCTAGCCAGTGGATCTACAAATAAAAGGTGGTCATATATTCTACTTAATTAGCCTCTTCAAATACAGAATTATGCAAATATTGAAATTCTCAGCTACAATCTACAGCTTTATGAATACTGACATATTCAAATCAACTGAAGTTTGACATTAAAGCCTCTATACTTACCGTGGTAAGTCCTTCATTGTTTCGAATATTCACATCTGCTTTGTACTCCAGTAGTTTCATGATGCATTTTCTCTGGCTAAAATTATAAAGAAAATGGAAGAAAATACAATATGAAAAGTGAGCAAGCATACAGTTATGAGGAGGTGGGTACTTAACCATTACAAAGTGGAAACCTAGTAATTACAAAGTTATTATACACATTGGACCATGGCACCTCAGAGTATTGGCCTCTGTAACCTCTGGTGAAGATCCAAGGTGTCTGTTTCAATGTTCCCTCCCAGTTATGGTTTGTGTTTCTCAGGAAACAGACCAGTCTCTGCCACTGTGGTCAAGGGAAAGACACTTCACTCTAATTGCTTAGGATTAGGCTTCCCGTATTTTGCTCAGTGAGGTAGCACACAGCTTCTACATGGAGACCCTACCTCAAAATGATCCTGACTGGTTAAGAAAAGATGAAACCAGCAAACAAAGTAAAAACAAATATTACAAAGATATGGCCTAAGCAACCCTTATAGTTGCTGTCCCTTTTCCTCCATTTGTACCATTCTACATCCCTATCAGTTCAGGATACATTGAGAAAAATGTGATAGACAGACATTTTGGATGGATGGACAGAAAAAACTTAAAATTCAGTGATCACATCATCTGTCTTTTTCACTTTTTTGTGAGAAACCATTTCAGGATTACAATAGTTTATGTTGGAAAAACCAGGCCAATACAATCATAGAGACATTAATCTGATTTCAGGTAGCTGAACTGATATCAAAAGACTCTTCAAATATATGTACACAGCATTATCATTGCATAATATTACTCAATTTTATTACACCTACATCAGTCCTTGTACTACAATGTAATGCTCAAACAATGGAACTTTTGTCATCTATAGTAAGTTTCAGACTGGCAAAATGAGTAAACTGATAATATATCTACCCATTCCTGGCAGCCAGATGTAGGGCAGTACACCCAGACATATCCTTGTGGTTGACATCAGCACCCCTCTTCAGTAGTAGGTGTAAACACTCATACGATCCACAGCTGTAGACACAAACATATTTAAAGGAGAAGAGTTGCATGACTTGTCTCTGTGAATAACTCACAAACAACACATACCATCTGTACTGATCTAGTCTGTGATACAATGCCAGTCAAAACAAGATTTCTATTTGATAATCCACTGATCTATACCTACACATGTATAATGTCACTATGATGAAAAAGCAAGCTTACAGCTGATATTTTGGATTGAATTTATCAACAAAAATCAGAAATGGACATGACAACTATCAAAAAAATTTTGATTTCAATTTAAGTAATTGGCAATTCGTATTAATAGCAGTTCTATTTACTCAATATTGGAATAAAACTTATCAACAGAAATTCAGGAAAGGCATTACTAAAGAGTGATAAATAAAGATAAATCCTAGACAGTAATGATCATGTGGAAAATATTTCAGAAAAATATGTCAAGAAGGTAAAAAGGTTTGGACAATATCCACCGACTGATGGACATACACACACTCTGATAACTGTATATATATATATATATATGTATTTATATATACTCATTGTTAAGTCTGTACTTTGTATGGATATCTTATACTTTATGAGCGCACTCATACATTAATATATACCTGGTGTACTAATTAGTGAGGTAAACAGGTTATTTTTACTGTAAGAAGTACAAGTATATATATATCTATATGGAGAGAGAGAGAGAGAGAGTGAGAGAGAGGGAGGGAGGGAGGGAGGGAGGGAGAGAGATGTTATAGAGTATACAGCTAAAAAGACTTCTGTCATCCCTAAGATAGAGACAATGCTCGATCAGATGTAGCTTACCAATGTGATAATAGGAGAGTGTTAATTTAATTCATGGTCACTGATTACATGTCATTACAGAATAAATAAATGGACAGAATGAGGAAGCCACCTGTCCTAACTGATAAAATCTCACGACTACTCTTGGCCAGTTACCTCGGTTCTTACTTTTAAATTGTTAACCAAAAATGTTTGAAAGTCTGCCCTCCCCTCACTTTCATGCAATAGTATAAGTATACAAGAAGTATAGGTCCTCAAGATGTGACACTGATTTGGAACGGGACAGGAAGGACCAATAAAGGTAACTCTGTTTACTTCCACTTCTTACTTCCCTGTAGTGGAGAAGGCATACAAACTGTATACACACCTGTACTCAGAAATTATCTAAAAGTCCTAAAAACATACAACAAATTGATCGGCGACTGCTTTTGTATGTGTATTTAACTCTTCATTTTCACTGGACCAAGAAAATAGCAATAAAGAACATGAATTTTGATGTTACTGTCCCACTGTCATGTTTCTGACATAAATAAGTAACCATATATATTGAGCTCATCATTCCATTCTGTAGTAAGTTAACACCTATAATGATATAGGTAACAGGTAGACAACCGGTGGAGGGACATGAAGTATTAATGATTTGCGTCACATCTACTAATATGGTCACATGTACCAGTGAGTAAGAATGCAGCAGCTAATCTATAATTCAACAGCTAATTACAGGTCCATAGTGTCAGCAACTTAGAACCACAAATCATTATCCATTATAAACAAAGAAAATCATTACTTTCAATTAAAATTCAATTCAATTTGAGTTTATTTCCAGAGGCCATACATATTATTTTTAATTTATAAAACGTCCGGAATCCCCCATACCGTATATGTATATATGATATATTTCAGCCATACATTTTCAATTATCTACCCTTTACAATAATAAGACCAAATTATCTACATAAGAACAGGGAGACCTTCATAAGTAGAGGAAAATGCTGTATATCTTGTAGTTCTTGTGAAGACTTACCCAGGTGTTTCTTTAGCTGACAAGAACTTGCATTATTAACAGGTACAATTTATAATGACAAAATTTAACATCTGTAACTGAGAAATTTACATCTATTGATGAATGTACTAAATTGGTCAAATTCTTGTCTCAGAACATATTGAATGACAGTAATATGTCAAAGGAAGAAGATACATTAGAACTAAGTCTGAAGAAGACAACATTACAGAGTTATGAATTTGCAGAAACAGGAAATTCTTCTACTTGAGAAAGAGAACTATTTGGTACTGGAATTTTGTTTATATCCTTGTTGAGGTGACACTTACTTGGCGGCTATGTGTAGAAGATTCCTGTTGGCCCTTCCATGGTGGTAATTTACATTGTATTTAGAATCACCTAGTAGATCTGACACTGATCTGGAACATACAAAATGTGTATACTATCACCAAATTATCATACACCTAACCCCGATAAATATGACGTTAATCTGAAGTAAATTGCGAGAACAATGCTCGAGGAAGATTTGGTGTTCTTTGCTTATTATAGAAAGTAGATCAACAGAGACTATAAAATCTCAAACTAAATTCTTATAAATAAATGTTTGTAGGATGGCTATCATTAGCAGACACTGTCACTGTACTGATTAGCTATCCATAGAAGACCATGTCATACTCTACTTACCTGTACTGATTGGCGATTACCATAGACATCAACATATAAAAGGCAGACGTCTCATCTGGAAATGGAAGAAAGCACATAAAAAAGAAATTTATGAAGTTTGAAGAACTACATACAGCTTATATATGTACTACTGGAAAAAAGAAACTGTGCAAGGGTATAAAATGCTAAAACTAAGGAGGTTAATAATAAATCACCAAAAAATTTCATCAGGGTTTAATCTGACCTTTATTTAACACCAGGTCAATTGATATGGTTATTTTATCAGCAGTATCTTGGATAGAGATCAGTTTTCACATTCGTTCTCTAAACAAAGTTCAGCTCATCACTACCATGTATGTCCACCATTGGAATTGACGTACGCTTGATAACGATGCCTCATCAATGTGACAAGTGTGTTGCCTGAAGAGTACCATTCCATATTCTCACAAGTGCATGTGACAGGTCGGGTACATGTGACAGGTCGGGTACATGTGACAGGTCGGGTACATGTGACAGATCGGGTACATGTGACAGGTCAGGTAACATCAACGGCTGATTCTGAAGGTGACCTAAGCGACGCTGCATCTCATCCCACATGTGTTCTATAGGCGGCATATCCGGTGACATTGCAGGCCAGGACAGCATATTCACATTGTTCTGGATCAAGAAGTCAGTGACGGCCCGCACCACATGCGGGCGAGCATTATCCTATTTTTATAAGGCATTACATTGCTGCACAAATGGAAAGACGTGAGGGCGGCTGATTTTGTCACGGTATCTGATGCCTTTAAGTGTGCCGTCTACAACCACATGAGTTGTTCTGCCATAGAATGACTTTGTATCACACAACTGTTATGAAATGTTCACCAACATGCTGGTACACTTTAGAACGACAATCAGTGCTGTGGAGATGAAACGTGGACTCATCCATGAAAAGAACATGTGCTCAGTCCTGCCATATGAAGTGTATGTGTCGTCTACACCAGGCTAAATGTGCTACATGATGACATTGCTGGATAACAAGACGTATGGCTGGATGTTGTGGACATATGCCTCATTAAAGCAATCAATTACATACTGTTCGAGAACCTGTCTCTGATGGTCCCAAACTGTTGGTACCATCTCCATAAGGCTTCTACAGTATTTTGGTGCACACCAAATTGTCTGGCAATGCCAGTATGATGTACACCAGCTTTGATTGTGCCTATGGCGCAGCATTTGTCAGTTTCATTCAACCTTGGCATGATGTATCAAAGACATTTTTCAAAATATTGCTGCTTTTGTGTGTTACAGGTATTTACACTATGCTTTTATACAGGTTTAGGCAACATGTTTGAGATTGACTGTTGGCCAAAAAAATCTGTAAACAAAGACGCGGGCCAGACAGACAAACTGCTCACGTAACTCATGCACTGACCAGTGTAAATGACAGAGAGGCATACAAAACTTACCCGTATAAAGTTTCCATCTTTAAATAAGTAAAACACTGAGAGGTCAGCAAGGACCTGGCTATGTAGAGTGGGCAAAGCAAACTCAAGTTATCACACAGAAACTGATTTTAACTTATACTTTCAGTGACATTTGACCTTTGGACCTCAATGGCAATATATCTAAAACAAGAACTTTTAGTAAGAAGCATTGCATCAAGTTTGAGTTGAGATTGGCTACAACAAACTGGAGTTATTCCACAAAATGGATTTTCCATTACTGCAACAATAACTTAAGCCTTTGACTTCTGGGTCTGAAAAGTAATACCTAGCAAGCACTTTTCAGTAAGAAAGCATTGTATTAAGTTTGAGTTTGAATGGCACAAGGGAACCCTAGTTATATCACAGGTATTTTCTAGTTAATGCAGCAGTAATCAGGATCATTGACCCTGGGACCTGAAAAGCAATCCAAAGCATGCCATTTTTGTAAGGAAACAAAGCATGAGGTTTAAGTTTGATTGGCCAAAGCAAATTTGAGTTATTGAAGGAGACTGATTTTTCTATGTAACCGTGACCTTGACCTTTGACCCACAAAACTGTAAAGCAATCCCAAGAAAACACTTTCAGTAAGAAAGTACTGTACACAGTTTAGGTTAGTTTGGCCAAAGCAAACTCTAGTTTTCAAATGGAAACTGATTTTCTATTTATAGTAATAGTGACCTTAACCTTTGACCTCTGAAGATGAAAAGTAAACCCATGCAAGCATAAAGAAGCACAGTTTGATGTTTGAGCTTGACCGGCCCAAGGAAACTCAAATTATCACACAGAAAAAAAAAAGTACTAGCTGACCGACAGACAAACGGATGGATAGACACTTTGATTACTACAGGGCATCTGCACTTTCATGCAGGGCCCTAATAAAATTGAGCAAAACATGAACATTTTACACCTGCACAGTTTCTGTTTTGCACTAGTATATATGTAATACATTATTTGATACAACAAATTAAATAGTTTTGAAACTGATCAGAGCAAAGCAAAAGTTAATATTACATGTATTAAATTGAAATCTATGATATATTCTGCCTATTAAAACACACATCTAAAGCCAAAAATTGGATTAGTTTGATTACAACAATCCATCAAATCCATCATTTTATCAAATCCTATGGACAACAGGCAGACTATTATCATCTCTGACTTGTCAAAAGACACTATCTCTCTCTCATAGGGAGTTACTTTAGTGTCTGGTTATGTATCCCATTTATCAATCATAACATTATCTCTTTAAATCATAATGAATACACAATGTCCTATAAATATAAACAATAGCTCAGGACTACTGGAGTTTTTTTATGTCCTTCAATAAATACAGGTGGGGGTGGGCATGTAACATTGCCCCTGTCCTTCTTGTCATGTTGTGTCATGTCTAATTCCATCTTGATTCAATGCAAGGACCTAGCAACTTCATTCTCTGACAGATTTTTTACTTTTATACAAAGGTCAATTATGAGTATACTTTAGACATCATTGTGTTTCAGGGGCCACAGGTCAAGGCCAAGGTCACCCTTGCTATATATAGAAAATCATTAACTGATTCAAGTTTAACACTCTATTGATTCTATATACTGTTGTGTAAGAATGATTTCTTTACCTGTAAAAATTATGCAAAAAAATATATGGTGACAGGAAACCAAAATAAACATTTCTACAGTTCTTTCTGACAAATATATGAAAGTAGCAATAGTTTATGCATATGTCGAAATTCATTATGAAATTATGATCTAAGGATGATAGGTAAAAAGTAAACATTGGCCAGAAAATGTATATTTTTTATGAGTGAGTCCTTTCTGGTCACAATCATGTTTATGACAAATCTAACTTATCCTGAAATGAATCTTTTGGTCAAACTGTTCAAATCTTGGTGATTGGGATTATCATACTTCTGCAATTGTTTAATTCTTTTCATTCCAAATCTTAAGATATTGATAGTAACTATTCCTTTAATGGCATACATTGTAACAGATCTAGAGTCCATTATCTTTTTCAATGCTAAAATAAATTTCCATAAATATCATGCTCTTTATCAATTGAGCCAAAGAGAAATTCTCACCAACAGAATTACAAGGAAGCCTCTGGTAAAAATATAAGTATTTTACGATGGTAAAACACAAGTAGGCCTACAGCGTAACCCAATCATCTTGGAACATTTTCTTCTGGTGAGTATACCAAGTAGAATTTCTAATATAACAACTAATTAGACAATTATATGTGATGTTTCAATGACTACATAGGTACCTTCACCACACAAATGACCAGTGACAAATGATGCATTGTATGATCAGTGATACAATTTATTGTATTAAAAATCAAGATGTGTTGATGGCTTTGATTCTTTATACTAGCGACGTAAACACAACCCTTACCCATACACCTAATATCTGATTACCTGACTCTTAAAGCAATCGATTCACATTATTAACATGTAAAAGCATGTGATTGCAACAATATGAGAAGAGACAACCTATTAAACCGACACCTTGTTGTAGTCTAATTCTGCACCACATACGCATGTGCCGTTACTGCACTGCCGATCAGTCTATCCGATAGTATATTATTACAAACATATGCCATAAAAGGATGAGTACCGTAAGCTACCGGCTTCTATGGTCTGCACTGCCTAAATCAGTCAATAGTAAATATAAGGCTAATAATGAGAACAAACAGTAACCTTGTGGTAGTTCGACCGTTCTAGCTCGCCTGAGTGAAGCAGCCAGATCCTTTATGAATTCCATAACTCTGTCTTCTTTTCTTCTTCCTGCTTTCTACTCTCCCGGATACATTATTTTCAGAGATTATATCATTGTCAAAAGTTATATTTATCAACTCGAATAGAATACCAAAAATAGAATGGAACTCTCTTGTGATGAAAATCAAAATCCGTCGTTTGGTAGTTATACATTACAAACTATTTCACTCAAAAGAAATATTAGCAAAACATTTAATTTGATAAGACTCAACATTTACAAATGTTGATAAATAAATATCTAAGAAAAATACTCATGAAATCAAGTATTCCTAAAAATGGAAATATTAAAAAATATTTAAAGTTTTTGTCAGTACTGTTCCGGTTGTTTTTACGATCTGTAATATTATTTTACCTTTTGCAATTGAAAGTGGAAGTGAACATCAACAATATAAAACAATAACAGATGTGAAAGGTAACTAAATAATTTGAACTTTGGTTCAACCTAAGACTTACTTTATACTTAACATTTATTTCAGGTCAATTGCATTTTTGAACTGTTTGTTATGCGTCACATGAAAATAACTGAATAATGCACGTGACTGTTCCATGTATCGGCTGTGTATACATCTAAATACATGAGGAATCAACTCATAGGTGTTCAGTTGATAACACCTGAACAATACAGTATTTATGTCGTAAGAAAAAAAAACTTGAAAACAGTTTTCTCTGCAAATCATTTATTTCTAGTGAATATGTTTTTTTTCTATCTCTCTAAAAACAACTTGTTTTCTCGAAGTAATTTAAGTAATTGAAATGAGAAAGATGAACTCAGCTTATCAGTATTTACAAAAAATAAAAATAAATAAAAAATTGAAGAAAAAAGAAGAGGAGAGAGAGAAAAATGCCAATCTGAAGCTGCATGGCAAATCATTTCTTGATTGAAATAAGAGATTGTTTACCTGATTAAAATCAAGCATGTGTTGCATACCATGAATAAAGTAATTAGATGACCATGATCTACACAATTGTCATTATGTGCAAGTTCTGTGGTCCATCTGTTGCTCAGTAAACAATCCTTGTTATAGATATCCCTTGAGAAGTATAGATTGGATCTTTCTCAAATCCCATATGTAAGTTCCAAGTAGTCCCAAGTTGTGCCCTTAAGATTATTGGACTGATTAGGAAAATAACATTTACAGCAGGTACATGAGCATGTACATGGTTTAATTGGTAGGACACAAGTGGAAATTGCTGTAACATGATGTTAACTGCACTCTTCATCTACTGATTTCCTACTGTGTTCTTCTCATGAATAGGCTCTGCAAGTGCTTCATTTTTATCTGAATAAGTTTGTTTAAGTACATTACTACAGCTGTCTAGAGTATAGTTTAATGTTGTTCTGTATACTGGTATGTTTTTCCATAGATGGCCTGTTCATGGAACAAGGGCTTTACAATGACAGTGAGATACTTGGGATGCTTATCTTGTTCATCCTGTCTTTGTCCAGAACTTTGTCTTGTGAATGCATGTGAAACAGCTAGTAACATGGATATCTGGGATGGGTTTAGTTTTATTTCATGTTTTCTGTATGCAGTCCAGATTTTGCATGCATTAGAGCTCAACTTGCTAAGAGGCCTACAGCATATCCTGTATGTAACTTTAAAATTCGGAAAGGTTGTATCTGATTGTTATTTCAGCATCAGTGTTACTCGGCAGGGAAAGAGTGAAGTATTTTATATATTTTTTGTTCTTTTATAATTACTGTTATAAAGTGCATACTCACAAGTTGCTAAATGCACAATATGGGGAAACACTTCTGGTTTCTTTGTAATTTGTTGTAAGTGAAGACTTTCCAAAAGCCTGCAGCATTTCCTGTTCAAAGTGTTGTTTATAATACAGGGTAGATTTCAAGGCTTGTTTGAAATATAAAATGGCTGACAGATGGATTTTGACCGTTGATTTTTGTTTCTCTGAAAATTTTTTTTTTTCGAATTTAATGAGAAGGTTCCAGTGATCCCCAGATGTACAGGACAAATTTGTTACTGATTTGAAAAAAAGGCTGACAGACAGCCATGTAACCATGATCTTGGCAATTGAGGATTGTTTATACCAATTTTTTAGAAAACACTTCAGGGGATATTTCTTTAATTTCCTTTGTAGGTGTTGTCATTATCAATACGCTGGGGTTTACTATCACTTACGCTTTCTGCATGCCTGGAAGATGTCATGGCAAAATTGAAGACACAAGCAAATTAATTTAACAGGTTCCAGGAGGAAAAAAATGACCAATTACAGCCTGATACACTCCTTTTGAAGATTACAAAGGAATGACACCCACCTTCAATGCCATTACAATATATCGCTATGCAACCTCAAGTTTTGTTTAATATACATCAAATGATCAAACTAGTCTTTTCATCGTGTCACACAGAGAACCTTCAATTTTGCCATGATATTTTCCAGGGATGGAGAGAGCAAAAGTGATTGTAAATCCTGATCTCTCCAGAGCAATACACCCAGGTTCACTGTTCTTGTATTACAAACCCAACACATATCGGGTTGAAGGATAGGTATATTTTACACTCCAGGTCACAAAATGTGGTAAAACGCTTTACAAAGCTTCAGGTTTTACAATATTTTATGACCTCTCTGGTGGAATATCCCTATCCTACATGCAATCATATGAACAAGTTTTATATTATTGTATATTCAGCCTGTTATCCAGTCAATTCACCCATGCAGTATTTTTACATACTTTACTAGTGTGATGCATCATGGAGTGCTTTTCATTGGCTGTGTCAGTCAGAAATTGATATTGTTTTCTTGATATGGACAGTGATGTTTCGTCACAAATTGAAAATGATACAATCAAATGGCTGCCTGAATATGATTTTGTCCTCCACGTTTTGTTATTTAAACCTATCAGAAAACTAATTTTTTCTTAGTTAGATGGTAAAAAATATTTTAAATTTATTTGTTTTTATTTCATGTATAAAATTTCATGAAACTGAATCATCTCAAAGTTTTAATTTTTGCTTGTGAAAGCTCCCAAAAATTAAAACCTTCTAGGACCTGAAATGCAAACTTATTTAAGATCCTTTATTGATAACATTATTGTCTTTTTCTTCAAAGATATTTTAATTAATAATTCTACAAGGTCAAGTATTACATTATTTAGAGAAAAGGTAAACAAAAATAAAAGACTATATATTGGTGAAAAAACACATTTTAGATTTTATCCAAATCAAGTGTGATGTCAATTTTATTCATTGTTGTTCTTTATATATGAAGGTTTTGAAATGGCTATAGTACCTGACTCTTTGTCTTGCAGTACTCATTTATTATTATATCTGTTTACAATCATGACTACATGAACAATTATTATTCGCTTAACTTCAAAGAACCATTATGAATTTTGGGGTTTCTGCATTTCCCTATCTGATTTTTTTCAGATTTATGTTGACTTTTTTATCTTCATCCATTGCCTTTTCAACCTTAGACAGACAAAACAGCTGTATAATGCAGCTTAATTCATTATTTGTCTCTACTGTATCTTTTGTGCTGTATTCCATTGATTATACTTTCATGGAAGTACACATATAGCCTATGGTAAACTCATCAAGTCCATGTTTATTTATGATTGTCTTCACAAATGACTGTAGATTACAATCACTGTTTTTAAGAAGTTAATTAGGAATTTACGAACATGGTTTTAGGAAAATTTTACATGCATATGCTGCAGCTTAAAAAATATGTAAACGTCTATGGGGTTGGTTAAGGGCATTTGTTGAAAAACATGTGTTATACCTTTATTTATCATGTAAAACCCATCACATAGGAAATTGAACTGTTATCAGTTTAGGTTAACTCATACTATATGTTACCCAAGGGGAATAACTTTTGGGTGTCAAGTCTCATTAATGATTTATTTTGATTTCATTTGTATAGTTTTCATGTGTAGAAGTAGAAAGTACTGGACACATTACTCGCCTCAGCTAGTGGAAATTTCCATTGCAAACGGAAGAGTATCTGGCTATAGATGACAGGGCCATTAGTTTAAACCCTCATGGTGGCAGGTTTTTTTCATTACTCCTTCCTATTACAATTATAGGCTGTTGACCACTCTAATAGTACAAGCTATAGGCTATCAAGATGCTTCCTTGGAGTTGATTTTATGAAGGAAGGAGTAGTGTAGGAGTTGAGTGTAGAGTTACCATTACTAGCATCAGCTTGTAGGAATTTCCTTGCTTTATTTGCTATATATGCCATATTTTTCCCCAATCACTTTACATAGAGAGTAAATGTGGTGAAAGGCAAGTGCATTTCCACAGTGATAAATCTGAACACTTTAGTTGCATGTTTTGTTTGTACAGTTTGCTGAATAAGCAGTAATTATTATTCATAAAAGCAAATTTTATTACCTGATAACCACAGGACAGATTGTATATGACATGTATTCTGTAGAGATTTAATGTAAAAAAAAGAAGCTAATAGCACCTAATATTTATAGAAATTAAGGCCCATTATTCATTTTTTGACATTTTAATGTTTTAGTGATTTCCAATAGAGCATACATGTATTTGTAATGAAAATGGAAAACAGTTGAAGGAGTTAAAGCTATTTGCATTTATTACCGGAAAGTTATTCAGCCATTAAGTTAAAAACCTGTTTATTGAAAACGAAAGATAAAACAAGTCATACCTGTATGTAAAAGTACATGTAAAATATGTCTGTTTAATGTGAACTGTAAAAAAAAGCTTCAGTTTTACTTGTTTTGCATACTAAATACAATTTGTCCTTTGTATTTGAAGTTTATTTACAGCTGTTGATTCAGAAAACATAATATTTACTTATCATTATTCGAGATAAGTGACAGTGATAATAGAGTCATTTCATGTGATGTAAACTAGGCTAAGTATGCATACCATAATTTCCAGCACTCAACAATATCATGATTTCTGGTTCAATGGCAACAGTGTACACATGTTATTGAATACCTTTGGAGCTAGTAGCATTATAAGAGTTTCTTCTTTTCAAAGTACATGTAGCACCTTGGTTGCCTATCTTCAGAAGTAGCAATATAATTCCTTGTCTTCAAAAGTAACACCATAATCTTCTGCTTTCAGAGATAAAACCATGTTTATCTATCTTCAAAAGCACTTATAGTAACCCCCTCTGGTAGAACTTGTGAGGAACTGACACAAACTTATATTCTCTTCTAATTTGTACTGTTAGCCTTATTTATGGTAGTCCCTTGTTGTAAGTATTGATGACACAAACCTATAGTCACCTCTAGACCTGGTAGTGTGTACTATTAGCAGACGAATAACAAACTTTAGTCTCTTTTGATAAGTACTGGTGAGGGACTGACACAAACCTATTAGTCCCTTCTGGTACTACATGTGGGGAACTTAAGGCCCGGCCCCTTCCTCTCCCCCATGGTTAGTACTATTTGGGTACAAATAACAAGTC